GACTTTGTATAAATGTAGCAAAATAATGTAGATAGCTATCACAGGCATGCCTAGACATCCAAGGTGTTTTTGAAATCGCTATGAGCATTCATCATAAATCTAAAATTTGTATTGGCGATCCGTATGTTTTTCATTTCTGGTTTCTGAAAACATATGTAATATACGCGAAGGCTTTAAACCCCCCTTTATCGAAATAGAAATGTAAATGGCTTTCATAGATGACAGCAGGAATACGAGAACAACACAAACATTTGTAATTTCAAAAATTTACCTTTTACTTTATCAGGCAGGGACTAGAAGGAAGGGATGAGTGTGAGAGGGAGACCAACAATAAAGGCACCTTAAAATTAGAAATATTACAGTCACAGGCAGCACAGACCAAACTCTTCTGTGGTTTTCATTTTGCCAGTAAATCAGCTTACTACAAATCTTCCTTGTGCAAAAGCTCTCAGCAGGTATCTGGCTGGCCCTGATTAAGCACCAATCACAATTCTTCCCCACACTTCAGTCCCCTCAATGGGCAGCAGAACAGAAATTAACATTTACTGCAACCAGAGCTATCATCCTAGGGGACAATCGCATTCACTCAGTTTTCTTCACTGCAATACGTAATGAACACCATTTCAAATACCAGTTTGATGTTATCAATCCTGGTGAGTTGCTCATCTCTCAACCAACTGCCTCAATCAACATCTCCCCTGGCTTAACAAATCATACGCAAGCACTACTGATGAAAATCCTTCAATCATTTAAAAAAATTTTTTTTCAGTTTTTTAGTTTTTTGCAGGCAGGCATCTCAGACCATAAATACCCTTTGTTGAGAACAAGATGCACTCTGTAAAGTCCTACCAGTTTCTGGCAGCGGGGTAGGGTACCAGGCAAAAGTTGGACATATATTGGTGAAAATGCATTTCCCTTCTGTATGTGGGTGTTTGTGTGCGTGTGTCTGTGTGTGTGTGCTCACTTATATGTGTGCCTGTAACCCTCAGCTACTGTAATAACAGCTTGATTAAAGTTTAAGCTTCTCTGAGTCCCTGCAGATCTGTCCATTTGCAGAATGATGGCACTGTACACAACAGCTGAGTGGTCTGAAACTTTAGTATTTATTTTCAGCCTATGACATAGGCACTGTTTTGATTTTATGAAACAGGTAAGCAACCTTCATTCAAATCTTAAAACTGAAGGGAGTCATAACTTCAAGGCAAACAGCCCCTTAATTTAAAAGCATCAACACTTTCACATGTGCTGGCAATGTCTGAAATAAGAAAGGTTGATACTGCTCTATTACATTACACATTATATTGTTTAAGAGAGACATGCAGTGCCTCATCCTGGACGCCCCTCACCCTGCTAAATTCTATTGCATGGACTTCACAGTGGCAGAGAGGCAAGAAGAAAACAAAATTCTGGGCTCACCAATATTACTATGTATTTTAGAAATTCCTTTTTAAAAGTTCTTAAAAAAGAAAGACATTATCAAAGGTCACTGGCATATTAAGTATGAAGGATATCTTCTTAATACTCTCTTTAATCGAATTTAATCTTGTCCACTAAATCAGAGAGGAAGTGATCAGTTTAAAATACATCAAAAGATCTACATAGATGGAAAATGAAATAGAAATTCGTTTTGGTATCTGCAATGGTTAAAATGACACTCTAATTGCTCACAAATCAAACATCACAAAGCTTAGTGTGTAATTTTAATCATTGATGAGCTCCAGGTTAATTATCCTCGTGGCATGCATGCAGCTTTTAAAACCCACTGAAATAATCTGATAACCATAAGCATGAAAACCTAATAATTTTCTAATTAGTCCACAAATATTAATGTTTACCTTTGCAGTTACCAAATCTGCACAAACAATGTGTATACATACTGAAGGCAGCCAAAATGCCTAAAATAATAATCCCCTGTGAGACTGAAATGAGGAAGTCAGGAAGGGACTAAAGAGTTGGAGGAGAAGTGGGGTGGTAAATAATACTGAATTAATGATGCCAGATTAAAATGAAAAGTTTCGAAACCCAAGCTGTTTCGTTTCATTTTGTTTTGTTTTTTCCCTATAATCATATAACAGGCTGGCATGTGGAAGGAGATTCACCTTAATTACAAAAGTAAGAAAAGTTCCCACTTTACAGCTTTGTAAAAGAGTTTCTAAGCTATTTCTATTACCATTTTAACTGTTTTACCTACACCCCTACAACAGTTCCCAACCCACAGAAACACTTGCTAGAATTATTACACACAAGCTGAATGTACCTCAAATGAGTTGTATATAATCTGTAGTTAATAATTTTGGCCAGATGCTGAATGGACTTTGCAATGTATCACCCCAATATTTCTTTTAATGAAGTAGATCCTATCTTTTTATTTTATCTTAATAGAGCCAGATATAACTTTCAAAAATGTAACATTATTGCTATGTGAAAAAAAATTACGAAAACCAAAGAATCCATCACAGATCAAAGCAGTAGAATACATTTTGTTGCAATACTCTGACATAATTTTACAGGAAATTGCCTATCAATTTCTTCTCAATAAGCTACCCATTAATCAGAAACTGAATCAAATAGATAATAAGTCTTCCATACAATCAAATTTACACTTCATTCCAAAAGCAACAATAGCAAAACCATCTGGATCCTTACAGCTAATAATATATTAACTTATATTAACTGATTTTTAACATTTGTAGCTATTGACTCTGACCATGGCAATGTTCACCAGTGAATTTTGATGGAGTCACTTAAGTCTGTACAGTTAAAAAGTTATTTAGATCAGTGTACACAGTGACACTGAATTTGATGCTAAGTGATTTCATTGTCATCAATGTCAGACAAGATCTTTCTTTTATCAATGTGACCCACTTAGGAAATTTACACTAAAGTTTTATAAGTCCCAGTCAAAAGACCACAAAGACAACCATTTAACTTAAACCACAGAATTCATTTCAAAATGACTGTGTAACAAGCAAACTCACTATAAAAACTGCTTTACCATTTAAGCTGTTTTCTTTTTAGTTTTTACCAATTTCTATTCTCTACTGCCAAGCATTCTATTTTTCAAAAATCACCAAAGTCCTCAAGAAATCTCAAAGAGAAAAACTAATATAATTTTAATGCTAAATTCAGAACAATACATACCTGCTGGTCTGCTTAGAATATGTGTACACATTTTTTGGTATTCTCACTAATTCACAAGATCAGTGACTTTGATCATGTAAATCCCTTTTTCGGAACTAATGGACAATATGCAGAAAAAGAACTTTTATTGCTCGTTCTGCCTTGCTTTCGTCCTGCAGTCACTGCTGCCTAAACTCGGCTCCGCTAAATGACCAAACCCACCTACAAGGAGCCTGGCTAATGAAAGGGGGGGCTTTCTGAACAATAGAAGAATTCCTTTGCATTCAGAAAGCAGAGTTCCCATTAGAACCCAAAATCAGAGAGGCCAGTTTAACCTCTTTTTTTTTTTTTTTTAATTGAGATTGTCCCAGCCCTCCTCTACGGTCCAGTGAGACAGTGCTTGTGAAATGATTAAAAAGAACGTGATCTGATCAAGAGGACAGAATAATGGGAAAGGAATGCTAGGTTAGCCACTCTGCTAAGTGCTGGGAAAGAAGACCAATGTGCCCCTTAGCCTATTGTTTTTATTCTCCTCTGCTCTTCCGCCAACCTCCTCACACTTTGAGTCTTTATTTACTCCATTTTAATGGGTTAAAAGTTGTCCACTTACAAGAGAATTTGGTAACAAGTTACAAATCCTAAAAAAAAAAAAAAAAGGAAAAAGAAACAAAAAGAAAAAAGAAAAGAAAGGAAGGAAGGAAGAAAGAAAGAAAAATCCTTGAATTATATCAAGTTTCCAAAAGGTCATCACTGTCTCTGCTGTGGCCTTTTCCCCATTCCAAATCCTCTATCAATATGTCATAGTGAGTTAGGCAAAGACAAAAGAGAGGCGCAGTGTGAAAACGGCACATATATCTAATCCTGACAAAGCAATGAATAGACCTTCACAAGTATAATTATACTTGTTTATTTGTTGCCACGTACAGAGAACTGATGAAAAAAATCCATCAAAGTGGTATTATGCAGACACCAAGAGCTTCTTTTCTTTGGTTGCTAAAGCCACATTGAGGCTTAAATTCCTTATTGTTAAATTCAGAAGAAAGAAAAAAAAAAAGATTTTTGGCTGGACTTTTTTTTTTTTCTTTTGCATCAGTTGCTGACAGATCTTTTGTGTACTATTAGCTCACACCGCTACCTCATTTTTACCCATGTTGGAATTCATAATTACAAACTACTGTACAGAAGCTTTTAAAAGGGTGTGGTGTGCTGACCAGGAGAAGAGGGTAGTGAAATTGCCCTTTTCTCATAGTCTGTCTTTTGATATATCAAAACACAGGTATAGTACCTGTGCAGAAACACCATTTACGTCAGAATACATCTTTGATCTCGGTCTTTTAAGTTGGTGCTGGTGGTTTTCTTTAGTCAGCTTTCTCTACAACTTGCTTATTTTAGTATAGATTTAGTATTTCATAAAAGATTACATAACTTCTTTCCCATTGCAGTATTAAAAACATTAAGTTAGCAAGAAGGAAGGCAAAGACAAGGATGTCAGGAAATATTAAGTAAAAAGATTTCAAATCCAACAATTAAGAAGCCATTATGTTCCAATAGACACTAAGTCAAATAATTAACAAAAGCACATTTTTAGGGGTGGGGGGAGCCAAATAAGCTTTTTTTTTTTTTCCTTGCAGGATAGAAATATATCAAAGTAAAAGCAATCTGCATAGTTAATGTTTGTGAGCTTTACAATTTAAAACAGAAAAGCTGTAATTTTTCTTTGCTGGCAATCTGGAAACACTCTGGAGTTAATTACAGCTGATTCGGAGTGAACCACACAAACAAAGACCAGTCTATGTCCAGACAATTATACTGCATTAACCAGCTTAGAGCTTCCTGCTGATGTTTCAGGGCTCTTCTGTTACACCCTTCTACCTTCCCAGCACGAGAGAAAATGCTTCTGCAAGAAGGAATTAATGAAGAGAACTGCAAAAGAATGTGTGACGACCTCTCCTGACACGGCAAAAACTTTCCACCCATGTCACGACAAAGGGGAGAAGGTAATTAAGTTTGAATAGAAGGATGTAACCAAATATATGAAGCATTTAAAATAAGCAATTTTTTAAAGAAGGAAAGTTTACAAAAAAAAAAGAGTGTGCAAGTCAACTAAGTCATTTCCCCTTATTTTCCTCATTAAAATCTAAATTAGCTATTCAATGCAGATTTATTTCCTCCTCTATAAACAGCACCTTTGTGATTGACGCTTCATGGTCTTCTCCCTTGCTTCTCTCTCTTTCTTCCTCTCCTCCTCTTCCCACTCATTTTCTCTTATTCCCTCTCACATCTCTAGCCCTACATGGACTTTCTGTGACAATTACGTATCATTAAACATATGTGTTGGAGAACTAAAGAGAAAAGGTACAGTTTGCCAGTTCTTAATTTGTATGGTTGTGGGAAACAGGAATTTTACTCAGTTTCCTTCACAACTTTAATCAAACTCCAGCGACTTTCCTTAGAGAGAAATCAATAATCTCTCCTTAACCAAATTACACCATTATATGACTCATTTTATTTGTTTGCTTCAGGAAAATTTCATAATCAGTGAGCAAGATGGACTCAATACTTTAGTTATCCTCTGTAAACAAACTTTGGTACTTCTAACCAATCTAGTTGATTTCTAATTTTCTTATTCATTCTAATTGAAAATGAATAGTTTGCATTGGTGTGAGACAAGGACATGAACTGTAATTATGTTCAGTGCCTCTTTCTGATTCTTTCTTTGATACTGTTTTGCTAGTATTCCAGCTGACATTGGGGCTTTGTAGTGATTGCTTCATTAAAGGGTAAGGATGTCCTAATCAGCTAAAGCATTACTAGAAAGCTGTTGTTTGCCAATACTATGAGAATATACTGGCTTTTTTTTCTCTCTTTATAGAAGAAAAAAGGTACAACTGAAGGCCAGTTACCCAGCCACACTTAAGTATTAATCATCTTCCCTTTGTCTCAAACATGCAAAGTAGGATTAGAGTTAAATGACTATATGATCTTTTTCATTTTTCTTCCCTAAATAAATGTTGATCTACAAATCAATCATGTGTTATATTAAAATACATATAAATATACTTTCTGAGAATACTAAAAGGTTGTGTAAATTATACTCAATTTTGCAAAGCATCTCAATAATGGACAGAATCATTTTCCCTTCTCAGACTCTTCTCCGTTAATCGCTACTATATTTGAAAGTTTAAGTCAATGACACTTCTAAAAATAAAGCTCAAACATGGACCCCTGTAGTTTTCATTGGAAAAACATGGACTGTATCAATCATTTTTAGGGATTTTTAATCATATTTGTCATGTTTTTTATGTTTGTATTTCTAGTCTTTAAAATGTAATTGACTAATCTCTCTGGTTTACACACAATCCAAGACTGTTTACTTGGTAATGATTTTGAATTGTCACCTAGTAACATTTAAAAAACTTAATTGGTTTTATAAAGGTATATATAACCGCAGAATATTTGGCTTCAAAAGGATTTACCATTCTGCACACATATTTATCTCATATACAGTGTGAAGACAATGTATTCTAAGATGTACATGTATTTTTTCCTTCTTTATCTATTGTATAAAATCAACCATTGTACTACTGGTTCAAATACTAAAAAGGGAAAACAATTGGCTAATTATCTGTATTTCATGATTCCCACCAATAGGATCTCATAACCAATGTAGCAGTAAGTGTAAAAGTGTGAATATGTCCTTACCTTAAAAAAAAAAAAAAAAAAGTCATTCTTTGCAGGCTAAACCTACCATAATTATCTTCATAAAGCTAATTACAGGTCAGGAATTCCAGCAAACATTCCTATTCCCTGAGCAATGATTTCAATGATTTCACCCAATTTCAAAAGAGTTTTAATGAAGAAATCTATATGAACAAATTTTAAAATCACTACTAAGTACCTCTTATTATACAATACTCTAAGAATCTACAAAATATATCTCTTTTTATGTCCCATGTAAATATTTTAAGTCATTTTATATTAAAAACCACATAGGACTAACATAATAGAGAACACAAATGGAATGCCAAGTTTTCTTCTGGATGAAATATTGGCAAATTTCTGTTTGATCACTAAGATTAGTTGGTTATTTTATTTCTGTTATGAAGAGCCCTGTGTGTGTGTGTGTGTGTGTGTGTGTGTGTGTGTGTTTGGCCTGAAAGTTAATTTGACTGCTGTCCATAAGTGAAGTGAGCAATTCAGTAATTAACTTTTGTGTTTTAAATGTATGAACTTTAATTAGATTTCATTATAAACAAACAAACGTCAACCATAATTATAAGCTCCTTGGTTTACCCACATATTATCCCTTTTCAAACAAACTTGATGTCAGACAAATTAAAATCAAGCAGCTAGCAATTTTGAGTTGAATTTTACATGATCTGCTGGTAACCTGATTACTTTAACTTCAATATCATTACAGGAAAAGTATTTCAGGAAAAATAATGACAAGAATTCCAACAGGAGACAAGCTTAATTGTATTGATTCAAAAGATGCATGTTCATAGGAACCATGTTGAAGGAATAATGTTATCTCAAATCTACAGTTTCTATTAAAATGAAATTGTCCGGCATGAAAGAGGCAATTAAGATTAGTGTCTGCAGAACTAGAGATACTAAACTAACTAAATAATTATCTGGGCCCAATTATCTTATACTTTAAGTAGCAAAATACCAGTGTGGAGCAACTATAAGGCATGAGGTTTGCAGGTTTATTTACTGACTGGTGTATCTATTAGGACCAAGAACAAGTGGAGCTGTCAGGACATAATGAAGGTAAATGATTAGTTAGCACCAAGCCTGAACTCTTCTTCAATGCAATAAGAGTTAATTAAAGTTTACCACCAAACATCAACCAAAGCAGGATGTTGATCAGGTTTCAGCATTAAGTGCAAACAGACAATAGTTAGCAGCAATTAGTACAGCTATAAAATGACATGCAATGATAATTATACATTTAAAACAGCTAAAGAGCTGGGGGAAAAAACTAATCAGCTTCTTTGACGACAAATACTCAAAGGGCAGGAAACAGGTATCAGATTATTTCACTTTAACACTGTAAATCAATAGAATTAAACAAGAAAACGTTGTATGGGTACATTATCTGAAAGAGAACAGTTCACTGGCTTCAAAATGAAATAAATCTGCTAGTATTGGTCTATCAAAGATAAGAACTTCTGTAGCTAAAGAAAATAACTTTTCAATTAAAGTTTCAGAATGAAGTCTGTGTAAAGAAAGTTTAGCTTCTTAGTTTTGTGTAAATCCAACAATGCAACAAGTATTTCACTATCATTATTGTTATTTAAATGATTAACTTCCACTCTAAAATACTATCAAAAGTACTTTATGCCTGAATCTTACCTTTGTGTACTCAAATATTATCTTTCCCCAAAGCTTTTGGATGATAGATCTAACAACTTTTTTAATGCAGCCAAATTTAAACAAAAAGCCATATATGCATATTGAGCCATTCAAATCTATGGCTTCAATCCTGCTGAAATCAATGAGCTTGCATGTAACACTTCCCTTAAAACAATTTTGATAAGTCACCTCATTCTTTTCTATAGTTTCCGGCCTGCATGCTAGAGCATAACTCTAGAAATGCACCCATCCTCATGACCCCACCTCTCCATCTTTCCAACTAACCCTGTTATGCTAAGGATTTGTACACAGTGCTGGCTAATCCTAATATTTCCCTGGAGCTAAATCTAAGCCATGGCTGACTCCCAGCACAAAAATGTCTCTCTCCAAAAGCCCTTTCGCCCCCTTCAGCACTCATACACTCATTGGTCCTGACATTTTCACTTCAGCCATGACAAATGAGCTGATGACTCTGATGTGATTGCATGGGAGGATGGCTTTATCTAAAGATATATCATTAACTCTCATCACCATCTCCTAATATGGCTCTTCTGGGTTAATGTGTTGTGAAAATCTGAGGAAATTTTTGTGTAAATATATGCACTTTTAGTAGTAAGAGACCAACTTCATCAAAAGGAGAAAAGGGAAGCCAAAGTGGACAGGATGGGGGGGGAGGATGACAAGCATTAACTAAATGTGGCTCTGGGGATTTAAGTAACTCTACTCAACCTCTGCCCCAGTGCAAACCAGCCAGCTGACTGTCTCTTAAAGGTCCCGTCTCCTCAACATGGGCGTCTGGAGCAGAGCATAATTGGTGAAGTGGCCCAGATAAAGCTTTTCAGATAAGTATGGCTTATCAATCGGGCAAGCCCACTTTTTTTTTTCTCATCCCAGTGTAGTACATATTTTATTTTTGAACCCTTCATTTCCTATATTATTAAATGTCTCTAAATTCATTTTAATGGGGAAAAGGATCATCAAAACCCATTTTACTCCAAGATCATTGCATTCTCCAATCAGAAGGAAGAAGTATTTTTTCCAACTATTACTAAATGTGAATCTTCTCAGACTTCAAAGGAGAAGGGAAAAGGAAGCCTTTCCATTTAGCATGAATACCGCAACCCTTTAGGTTAAGTTAGAACCTAAGTTCCAGTTACATAGTTCTTGTTATGTATACTATGGAGTTTACAGAGTAGATACTTGTTATAACCTCTTCTCTCGTTTCCTCTGAGAACACACAGCCAATCAGAGTCAACAGTAGCATAACAGACCTCAAGAAAAGAGGTCAGGCTTTGAGGTAAAGTGCTATTCACTCTTGGACCATGCAAGGAGCTCTTTATTCCTGTTCTTATTGGCATCAGTCCCCCTTACTAGAGCAAGAACAAAGCCAAGTGCTCGTGTGAGGTTTATGAATAAATCAGAGGTGAGCCACTGTAAGTGCTGCCCATGATTTCCTTGTTGACAGTGAGCACTTAAACAGGCTTCTATGACTAGCGACTTCTGGCAAACCATAATGATTCCTAATCTGCACCCTGCTTCATTTCAAGAACTAAATGACCCACCCCACTTTTTTCTGCAAGTTTTCACCTTTCAAGCAATTCTTGTCTATCTCAAGCAGCTTAACATTACAATCCCAGAACAGTCAGCTTGTGCTGTGGTCATCACAGAAATGGTACCAACTGAAAAATCTTCCTTTGCTTGGAAAAATTTCACCAAAAAAAAAAAAAAAAAATCTCCAGCATTGCAGAAATTATTATCATATTAATATTATAGGATCTTTGGATATGGGAGCAGCTAAGCCAACTAAGGTAAAAAATGCTAAATAATTTGCTAAAGGGCACATACACATTAGAGCTGAACAACTAGGTGCTGTAGTTATGTGATATTTCCCAGAAATTTCTCTGAGTTGCAGTTTCCTTATGGGTTAAACGAGATGATTATGCTATATCCCTTCTGACTACAGCGATCTATGGTTCTAATATAAAAACCCATTTAGATTGCGCTGAAGATAGTTCTCCCTATGGAGTTTTCCAAGACAAACCCAGATGTTTTTAAGGCTGTATATTTCTTTTCAGTACCTAGATTTCAAGAATAGAGGAAGATTTCGGGAGAATAGTAATTGAAGTTTTCTTTTTTTTTTTTTTAAGATTTTATTTATTTATTTGTCAGAGAGAGAGCGCACACACAAGTAGGCAGAGTGGCAGGCAGAGGCAGAGAGAGAAGCAGGCTCCCTACTGAGCAAGGAGCCCAATGCAGGACTCAATCCCAGGACCCTGGGATCATGACCTGAGCCGAAGGCAGTGGCTTAACCCACTGAGCCACTCAGGTGTCCCTAAATTGAAGTCTTCTATTTATATTTTTAATTAACTATTATTCATTTTTTCATTCATTCAACAGATATTTTGTTGAGCACCAAAGATTTGCCAATAACGTCTGTCACAATACAGTGATTAAACAGATACGGTTGCTGCCCTCATGGAAGCTAAAGTTTATTTGAAGAAACACTTAAACAAGCATCGTGAAAAATGCTTAGATGCCAACTGTTTTTCTTTCATTGAAATATATCATTAGCCTATCAGTATTCAATAAATGCTTTGCTTTACATCAGTATATTTCAAGTGAATTGTCAAGTCCCAGGCCACTCATAAATGACCAGAACATGGGCGAGGCACACACTTTTATTTTTAGGAAAATTTTAACAAAGATTATGAACCACACATATTAAGCAAAAATGAAACACGAAGCTGTGAAGTTACAATCCAAGTACACTTACATTTCCCATAAAAATACAAATAGTTTTAAATGCGCATCTTACATGTATCACAATGGGAAATTATTACAAATTTTAAAAAAGAAGATCCATAACAGAAATAATTCATTTCTAGGTAGCCCAAAAATTGTATTATAAATTTATTAACTTTTGTCATGAATCTTATCTTTGAACTTGGGTACTCCTCCAATGAATAATGCATTATTATAAAAAAAAGGATTGTGATCTCCTCCAAGAGATAAGCCAAGGAGTCTCATAAATTGGCTATAAAATCCCTCAAGAAAACTTAAAGGTTGTACAGCATTACTGGATTATTAATAACTGGATCTCTTCTCTAAGTTGGTATAAATCTTGATCAACAGGGTGCCATGTAACAGTATCCATACTCCTTTTGTTGTGTATCAAAATATCATAATACCAAAAATCTGGAAAGTTATTTCTATTGCGTCTAATCCAGTTTGGGGAAATCCTGTAATTCTAAGGCTTTCAAACAGGCTGGGTCAACAAGACTTAAATAAGCGTTGTGGTATCGTCTATGATTGCATATAATGGACAGTCTGGAATCTGGAATTCATGTAGTTAGACCAAGGTCTGAATTATTTAAGAACTATTCCTGTTCTAATTTGCTTCTTAGAAAAAGACCCAGAAATGCATTAAACGTCTAAAAGCCCTTGAAACCAAAACAACTCACGATGATGGAGGGGCAGATAATGAGGGAAGGACTAGCCACAAAGATGCCATCCAGGTATGTCAATAAGAATATACCTTCTGGGGCGCCTGGGTGGCTCAGTGGGTTAAGCCGCTGCCTTCAGCTCAGGTCATGATCTCAGGGTCCTGGGATCCAGTCCCGCATTGGGCTCTCTGCTCGGTAGGGAGCCTGCTTCCCTTCCTCTCTCTCTGTCTGCCTACTTGTGATCTCTCTCTGTCAAATAAATAAATAAAATCTTTAAAAAAAAAAAAAAGAATATACCTTCTTTGCAAACACATTTCCTAATTTCTGTTTCTGTTGTAAGAGAGAGGGGCATCCCTATTCAAAAGATCTATGTTGACTTGCTTGACCAAATGCTCTTTAGTTGGGTACTACATAAACCAGCTACTGAAAATAAGGAAAAAGGGGACACGGTATCAGGCCCTGTCATATTTACTTATTTTAATGTTCACAACACTTTAGTGTTATGTAATCTCTACAACAACTTTAAGATACAAATGAGGAAACTGAAGCTTACAAAGATTACATCCATAATAAGAATTTAACTCAGGTGTCTAGTAGCTCTAACACAATTTCTACTGGTCCTTGAGTTGTCAAAAATGGAGTAGATTTTCAAATATCTGAAGTCTAAGCTAAAGTAAACTCATTTAAAAAGGAAGCCAAGCACTTAAAAATGCAGTCAAGATTCACATACTTGAATTAGGAATACCATACTCAATCTTTCTCTTTTGGCTATAAGAACTTCTCAGAGAACTTGGGAGGTAGTAAATTTCTGTTCCTGTCTTTAAATGCAAAAATAAAAAATAAAAACAAATTTAAAAAAAGGAATTCAAAGTAAATAGAATCAAAAGAATGTCTGCTTTTTACTGTGTCATTCTTTCTTTGCACTATGCTACCTTTACAACATCACAGCATTGTCTTCATTTGCTTTCCCTACATAGACTAGAAATCTTAATCTTCATAACCATGTTTATGATTATTAAGAATACATTTCAACTGACTGAGATCATTGGTACTTTTATGAATCATAAACTCTTCTCGACCATTCAATGCAACTAGTCTGACCTCCTAAATAACCCAAAAATATGTATATAGTCACAGTGATAAGATGCCATTCAGATTGTACTCGTTCCCTTTTCGTAGTAGAGAACTCCTCTCTCAGAAGAAAAGAGTACCACTGTTGGATTAACAACATTTTCCTTTTCTTCTCTATTTCCACCACCATACTCAGTTACATAACAAACCCTTTTCCAAGCAGCCAATATAACTGTGTGACCACTAGTCCTTGAATTGGGATACCTGAGTTTTGTCCTGACATTTTCTTAGCTTGCTTGGTAACTCAATGGTTATTTCTCCTGAATTCAATATCTCATATTTTACAATTAGCTGGCTGAACTGGATTAACTCTAGGGTATTCTCAGGCTTTAGCATGTTGATAGTTTCCCTTACAAACCTACCTGCTTTTTTTCTATTGTGATAATGTTGGTCAGTTCTCAGAAAATGAAAGGAATTTAGTCTACAGGGGGAAAATTTCACAGGCTACCCCTATGGGTACATCTAAAGAGGAAAGAGAGACACAAACACGGAAAAAGGGTCGGGGTGTGTGCATATGTGTCTCTACACACACTCCTATGTGGTATACACTAAACCAAAAGAGATGACTCATTCTCGAGTAAGTAGTGGGCTCAGAAAATTTAGGTATTACTTGCATTATTCCTAACCTTATGGAAAAAAGGACTAAGAACTGTATTTTAGAGAATCCACATTAATAAAGCCTTTCAGGTTTAATTAAGGTACTTTGGGAAATAATTGGGCTTCCTCAATTTATTCTTCCATGCAGATGAATTTCAAGATTCTCCTTTGTTTTGTTTTGTTTTTAACAGTATAACCAGGTGGCACACACCAGCTCGTATGTTTTTTGTATTTTAACCATTGTTAAAGCTAAGGATTTCATTTCTTCTTTACAGTGAAGGAAAATAATTTTATGGACAGTTATAAAATGCATATTTTAACCCAAAAGTCAATTTTCCCTGGTTAAAATGATTTAGATCTCAGTAAATACTTGCAGAACGATTTCTGTTTTTATAGCTAGAACACACTGGAACCTATAAACTTTGTCTTCAGAGGTATGTGCTAGAGTGGGCACCATTCAGAAATTACCAACTGTGCACTGTCGTATCCTTAGGACAAGCAAACATGAGAAATGATCGATCATCTACATCCATGATGCTAGTGTATGAACTCCTGACCTGAATGACTAAAACACCTACTCAGGACTTGTCTTGGACCATCAGGGCATTATGACATATTAACCAAGTCAAGCCACCCAAATTCTTCAATGCTGTTCGTTTATTTTTTCAATTTCTAGAATGTTAAAGTGGCTAATTATATCAGAGATAAGTTGCTTGCAAATAGGACTTTAGTGTCAAAGCCATTTTTAAGTTGTGTGCATACATTCAAAAGTGCTTGAAAATGGCAAATATATTATTTTACTCACAAATCTTTGAGAGTAGGGGGGTGAAGAGCAGCCATCCCTGGACTGAGGATTGTATGTCAAACGTGAAACTATATCAAACTTTCAAGGCAACTTGTGAGCCTCTGAAACCAGGGAATTAACAGAACATCAAATCCAGTAAGATCACAGGGGCACAATCCTTATGCAAGAAAATAATGCCATTGAACCCTCATTAAAAGACCATTTCGTCCTTAGCCATCAAAGACTGCGAGTGCACTAAGATCTTGGTTATATCATCAGGGATAACTAAAACAAGTGCCAAGAGAAACTGTGCACTTTTAGTTCTCACATGTGTCCATCTGTTCACATATAAACATATATTCCGCTTTCTGTCTGATTCCTAAAATCTTGATATCAGAATACCCTGGGCTTTTGCCCATTTCCTAAGAATGCAGACATCACATAAGCTACTATTAACCCATGTGTGATCCACTTCCATGGTGGCTGGAAAGCTGCCAGTTACAACACATGGTGCTTGGTTAACAATGTCTTAAAATATAAATGAATTTATTTTTTAAATTAACACATTTTTCTTATGGAAATACCTTAATAAGCCTTTCTGCATGTAAAATAGCCTCCATGTGGATTTGTTTTTTGTTCTTTTAAGACTTTTTGCAAGCATATCATAAAGTTAATCATAAAAGTTTCTGAAACAATCCAGAATTTCTTGACAAATTTTTAAAAGGACTCCAGTAAAGAATTTTGGTGACTTTATATAACCAAGATCAAACACTTTTCCTTTACAATATTCTGTACTCAAGAGGCAACCCTTATACTTTAATTTACGTGAAAACACTTCTGATTTCCCAAGTTTCCATGTAACATTCTTAATAGCACCTCAGAAACTGAACTGCGCAAGTGATGAGGCAAACAGAAGTTCTACACTCTAGGAACAAAACAAGTTAGGTTAATATCTGGTGGAATCTTTCAATCCTGCTCTGGGGCAGCCTTCAGGGGCTCATCTGTTGTGACCTCAGACTGGAAAGAGATTGTTTAAAATGTATACTGTAACTAATTACCCACACTGCATTTGATTTACATATGTACAAAAGAATCAATTCCCACCTTTGAAAGTGTCTTAACACTTAGGGTATTTTAACTCCCCTAATTATGGTTGAAGAAACATCATGGAGAGCCTGACCATGTTGTCAACTGGTAACCAGTTACAGCTCTAACTAGTGACAAGAGAAAACCTTACTGCCAATGTCTTCAAAAATGAACATACGATACTCAGACACTTTGTGAAAGACTGATCTCAAAATGAAATGCACAATACACCTACAAAGCAACATAAAGTTGAATTAAATCCTAAGAAAAATAACTGTATTCTCTTTGACTAACCCTTCCCAACCACAAAAGCTGATGGGCCACTTAGCACACTTAACATTGCCAAAAGTCAGGATACACAACTCTTTCCCAAAAGAAGTGTTCCACCAACTGAGACAACTATTTATAGCCAATGGGGGAGGGGGGGGCAGAGGAATACCATATATTCCATCGTTAACTAAATTAAATATCCACACCGTACTCTTGGCCTCCTCTGAAATAACCATTTTTGACAGCAAAGTGCTGGGAATTCTCGATACCCAATAGTCAATATTTGGCTAGCCT